TATATATGCATATTATGAATGTATTATGTATCCCCTTTATACATTTTGCCCCCTCAGATGAAAAATACTTTCGCGGCGCCTGCTTTTGTGACATTTGAAATTATATTCTTTTGTGATATGCATTAGTATAATTTGTGATGAGAGTGGCTGTGCACGATCGCGAGTAGAATTTCCGACCAATTACCGGAAGGAGGCTTTGTGGAATCATTCAGCGAGAGACGTCTCGCTGCAAAGGCCGGGGAAGCTTTTCAGGTATTTCGTCGTAGTGGATGACGAAAGTGATGACGAAGGTCGAACGGACGCCCACGTTTAAAACGCGGGATAAAGAAAAAAGTAGAGGGTGGCGACGAAACAGCGCGGTAACTAAATGCCGTTGTTGCATGCTCGCGCATTTGAGCGTACAATGAGAATTTATCACGCGGCGCGTTGCGCGGCCTACCGGCACGGCGCGTCCCTCGATAAATCTTTTTTTTTTTAAAGTGGCGAAGGGATTTGAATGGGATTTTAAATTGCCGCAAGCGCTTTTATGCAACGTAGGATAAATTGTCCCCGTGCATATTCCTCGTGCCGTAGGACGCGAGGAAATTCGCGTAATTCCATTGCAAACGCGACCGTTGCGTACGCGCGAGATAAAATTTTTCATTTGCGAGGCTTGTTTTCAGAATTGTATATCAAATCAAGGACATGTGTATTAATTAATGAGTCCTCTGGACTCTCGCAGCGCCCTCCCTTGAAATAAAATTACGTCCGATCCTCCACTCAATTCCTTTCTCTCTTTTTTCGAAGGATAAACGATTGGAGTTCTTTAATTTGTCGGGGAAACGACACGATAAACGCTACGCGGAATTCCGGACGGTCAAGGTAACTTTGCGCTCACGTTGTTTTCTAATATTAACGTCAGACATAATAAAGCGTGATTAACGACACGGTCATAGACACTAAAATTGCGCCGAAGAGAAGGAAATTTTCTGCGCGCGAATTTACTACGTTCACATGCGGGGAAATTTCCGGGACGATACACCGGGGACGTAAAAAGCGACTCCCTTTGCCGTTCGAACGAGAGACGCATAGTGCAATATATAGTTCTAATTTAATGTATTAATAATTAAACGCGCCGAAACGTGGTTTCGTCAAAAGCTATAATGCACTGTTACACGCCGCAACTTTACGAAGTGAGTTTCTGAAATTCTAAATATTTTCCAAATCTTTCTTCGATAAATTTCAAAGATTGAGTTTGCTCATTAAGAATCGAATCTTTTAATATTCATAAATTATATATCGATGAAATTTTCCTTTGAACTTTTCTTTCCGCAACGTCTATGGTAAAAGCGCAATAAAATCCCCTTCTTCAAAACATTTCATCAATATTACCAAGTATTACTTTTTAAATATATTTCGCTCTTCTCCATCTATGTCGAAAAAATTAGACTCCGTTTCGTGAAGCGATTCCGACCGTATCGGAAAAAAGATCTAACAATCCAATCTATATCTCAATAAAGTTACTCTTCGAATATTATGTTGCGCAATTTCTTTTAACCGTAATAATATACTCGGAATATACGCGTGGAAGAGATGTATAAATTTACAATACGCGAATTCAAGAAAGCGGATAGTAATTAGCGACTCTTGCAAAATAAGCTGAGTTATTTGATTCGTAATTGGCGTGAAATCTAAAACAGACATTTCCTTCGAAGTTAATTGAGTTAATTATGTTTTTTCGCTGTGCGCGGATCGCGGAAATTCAGTCGCATCAAAATTACATGTACAACAAATATAAATGTTATACCTTAATTGAAAATAATAAATTTAATATTATTCATGCAAGAATCCGCGGCTCTCTACGTTGCGCGTCAGACGCATGCATTTGACGTTATAAATGTGTTAATGAATATACCCGATTTGTTTGGTGTGTTGCACAATTTTATTGTTCAAAGGGCGGTGACGCGTGTAATAATGTTTAAACGTTCATTTACCGGCCGCGGACACGGCAATCAACGGGATAGATTTTTAGCTTTATATTTTCTACAAAACAAGCCCGCACCTCGCACGACAGCGCGATATATACGTATACAGGTGTTGCTGAGCGCGTCCTAAATTTTTGATATCATTAATTTAACGCGGCGACTGGCAGTGGCCGTTGCCGATCGATAGCGATTATCGCGATTATTTCCATGGATAGGTATATCAAAGCCGACTGTTCGACACGGGGTGCTGTTTGCACGCTGCATACACGGTAAACGCTATGTTGCCTCGTCGAATCGCTTGTAACAGCAATGATAATGCCGGCCTAAATGGCGAGACTCGCCAAGTCATGACGCGGCCCAGTGCACAATTGACAGGCCACGAATTCTGAGAGATACGATTCGGGATTTGTTTCAGCGCAACCCACGTGCAAGATATCAGCGAATGCTCAATCGATCGGGCTGTGCCGCGATGCGTGTCATTCCACGTAGGCACGCACTATTTGCGTATCCATTATCAGCGGATTATCGGGGAGCAAACCCCTCTCCCAAATACGGGAAAATTTTTATTGCCACAGAATTCAGATAGCACTCGGTAGATCATCGTATTCGTATTTTCAAGTATTATTCTTCGTAGACGTCGTCGGTTATTTTAAATTCTGTGTTTTTTTTTAAAACGATTCTTAAATCGATTCGACCGATTGTCAGCTGCGATAATTCTATCAAGAAAAGAAATCTCTTGTTCGGCTAGTGCGCGCGAAATAGTGCCGTGTATGTAACGGGATCAATTAATGGCAGCTGGTGATTTACATTTCAAAGGCGCTTCGCGTTTGTCGTAACACGAGAGTTACGTTGTTCTCGAGGCGCGCATCGGGTGAGATACTGTCTGATGCTGTTGCTTTGCTCGGAGCCAATTCCCGGTGTGTCAAAGGTAGATCCGAATTTCCAGTCTACGTCCTTTGGACGTTTAATTTTGGTGCGCGATGCTAACGAGTGATGAGTTAGTTATGTTTGATGCACGATCGGCGTTCATGCCGACCAATAACATTCGGTGCGCACAATTGACATAAAAGTGCTGCGGGAAAACACTGACTATAAAATTTTATAGTTTATAAAATATTTAAAAAGTTGCGCTTGCGCGTTTTTTTTTTTTTTTTAGAAATATGTGACCTTTTATTTTTTGCATATTTCTCTTTCACGGGAACGAATACCGATAACATTTTGAGATGGAAATTGTATTTGCTGCGCGAACACTTCGCTCGTTGGAATTCGCTTGAAAGCTCGTTTTTCGAAGATTGCGATTCGTCCGCATAAATTGACCGGTTAACGCGTCCTAATTATTCATCCCGCTCTTCACAATATTGCCTAAAAAAAATTACATTACCCGAAGAGAACAGAAGTGAACATTCGGAGAACATTTTATACGTACATCGTTTCGCTAGTATTAAACGGTAAGTTTCGCGGAAATTTCTGACGACGGCGATTAAGCTTGCCTTCATAAGTGTGCTCATTAGGCTTCGCCCTTCATTAGGCTTCAATTCAGCCGGCAACTCGCGGAGGCGCTGTAACACCGCCACTTTTCTTCAGCTTACTGAACATCTCCTTCCGCAAAAATGTAACAGAGTTCGGCGAGGAGTTTCTTTTTCTCGCAAGAGTCACCGGTGCCGAGCAGGAAAATGGGTCGAGACCTCTCGTCGCGAGTGCACCAATACGAAACGAATAATTCCACGTATTCGAATTTCACTGATGATTTCATGGTCGTCCTGTGTAAACGGTGAGTGCGCCGCGGCAAAGAGATCGGTAATGCGAGTCGGCGTGGACTAACACGGCATTGATTCCAGATCGAAATCCCTGAAATATGCCGGTAAACAGAACGGACTGTGGACGGCCGAGCCGAGCATCTGGGGCATTATCGGATACAGCGTACTCATTCCCATAGTTTCCGCACTCGGGATAATCGGCAACTCTCTGATTCTTGCGGTCCACACGAAAGCAAAGACGTATTTGAAAGCGTCGACGTACACGTACCTGGCAGGTCGGTGCGGAAAATCGACGAAATCAGCTTAACCGGTATTGAATTTAACGCGTGATTCGATTCATCCGCGCTCACGTTGGGCTTATCATTACGCGATGCGGGAAGAACCGCGATCATTCGCGGTGACAATTGTGCATTGCGAATTAGTCGCCCGCGGCGATTTGGTATGCTAAACAGAATTTAATCAACGTTCGATCTTGAAATTATTTTGAACGAAATTTTAATTATGCAATTTTGCATAAATATAAAGTGACTCGAGAATTCTACAAATTCCAATACATTTTATGTATAGTACTCGCGTCCTCGGATCTAGTCACTTGCATTCTGCTGCTCTTCTCCGGTTTAGCCAGAGGCGTTTTCCGATGCCGCAAAGGATGGCTGGAGTTCGATGCGTTCGTTTACTTCCCGGTCGGCTCCGTTGCCTCGAATGTCACGGTGTGGGCTGCATTGGGCGTCAGCATCGACAGATTGGTGCTAGTTTGTAGGTAAGGACGCATGCGGAATGCAAATCCTTGGAATCCTACAGAATTAAAAATCTCGCTCCGCAAGAGCCGCAAATTTTATCGACGAATGTAGCGGCGCTTGAAACGTGCGCGTCAGACTTTAACGAGCTGTCCGATTCCCCGCAGCATGCCGAGATGCAAGCCACCGAAATACTGCAGCCAGCAAGTTGCACGGAAATTAATGATTTGCGCTACTTGCGTCGCTGTGCTGATCAACATACCGTACTGCTTTATGTACACGTACAACGACCACGGCGATCTGGTGACCACTGAGTTCTTCCACACGCGGTATGTGAGAAACACGTCTACGTAATCGTAATAATGCTCCTTTACACGCGTATACATCGCTTTCCACTTTCTCAAAATATTCCATTCACTTACCGAATGGCATCCGAATTTACGGAAATTTTCTTCCCATTTTGCCCGGCAAAATATTTCCAATATTTCTCGCAGAAATTTCAATTTCAGCTGAAAGCCTGGCGAAATAACAACCAGATGATCTTTGCAGGTGGTACAATCTGCAGAATTGGTTCCAATTCATCATATTTGGCATGATACCGGGCGTCTTTCTGCTTATCTCGAACGGCATCATGATCTACTTCGTGAAAAAATCTCTCAAACAGAGAGAGATGTTGCTGAAGCGCAAAAACATACGCGAGAGCAATTGTCTGCAGGTACGTAAACGCCGGTGGAGCTTCCAGGAAAATGTTTAACGCCATTTCGCGCTTAGAGAAACGGGCTGTGTCGAAATGAGTCTTAAGAATCGCGAATCTGATCCGTGACTAGTTCCGAGCTAGTGGCGAAACGCTGCATCTTTATTTGGACAGGAATCTCGATTTGAAACTTTCGGAAATCGGAATCAGTTCTGAACTTACGCTGCTCCGTGCCACTGCAGATCTATCCCACTTCAGAGCCTGAATGAGCGTTTGTACTTCTCCACTCTAAAGCGTCTCAGGGCGCAATTTGCATGAAACTCATCGGGACCCAAGTGGTATTCGGAAACAGAATCCCGCGCGAGTCATTGTTGTAGCGCGTAATTGGAAAAGTTTGCTCGAAAACCGACGACAACAGCACAGTCGTGTTTTTATAAGAACAATTATTAAAACTTCCTTGTCGTTTGTCGTACAGATATATCTATGCTTTTATTGTACGAATAAAGTGAGTACGATGCTGTCTGCGAATGACTTTAATTCACTTACTTACCTAAATGTGACAAACAATTGCATTTTTTTTTATTTATTACATTTGTTCGTTATAAGTTATTTAGTTTTGCATAAAAAATTATCCAAATTTCACTATTTCACCGCGAGACGTAATCAGTAAGCCGGCAAAACTTCGTCGAATAACAATAGGT